ATTCTCTAGCACATTTAGTGACCGTATTCTTGATCCAGTAGTTCTTGTAGTAGTCCGCCATGTTTACCATCCCATAATGCAATGCTAAACCACGTCTCTCACTACAAAAAACGCATGGCGACCCCAGTTTTTTATTTGCTTGGTATGTTTTGTAAACACTTAAGATTATTTTGAATGTGCTATTTCAAAAATAAAAATAGTTTTGGGTGGTTACTTTTTTGATTTTGTGTTTTTGTCCAAAATTGAAATTTTACCTACTTTTGCACAAAAGCAGATAAAAAATGTACTTTCGTCTTTGCAACTTCAAATCTTTTTATTGATATGAAAAATATTTATGTTTAAGATTATTTTAGGCAAAATTTCAATGTACTTAAGCCAAACACAAGGGATATGTGATTTTTTTAAGTGCTTCAAAATGCACTCACGTCATCGGGTCTTTAATGACACTGAATTATCTCGCTTGGATGCGTGGGGACCCCCACATTTTTTCACTTTTTTAGATAGCCCCTTGGGTACTCTAAATAACTGACACAGTTTCATTCAAATAAAAATGGGTCGCGAACTGTACCCACCATCCTTAAGGGGACGCATACGCAGACGTTTTTCTCGAGTGCCGTTCCTCAAGGACCTCCAAGCAACCAAAGATCCTTAGCAATATGTTTATTTTTTTATAGATCATTTTGAAAGGAGTGTCTAAGACAAACGGTTCTATTTCSTTGGCGATAAAAGGCTTTCAGGCAACCAGCAGATCCTGTAGGCATCGCCCAGAGTTTGCAGAACCGGGTATGAGTCCAGAAAAAAAAACCTCGAAACTTTATCGATAATCTAAAACTACCTCAAAGCTAATCAAAGTCAGAGCACGGCTTGCTCACAGATCAAATTGCAGTTAAGCTTGTTAGGTTTTGCGGAAGAACAATCCTGAGAAATCCCCTAAAGCAATGGAAAAAAACTTAACAAACTCTCCTCACATGTAATGTCAAGTCCCAGAAGTGAGAGGCGAATCAGTGCACTGCCGAACGCCACCCAATATTCTAAGTCGTCCAAATAAACTTTCATTGAGCTTACAAAATTACCAACTAAAGGATCCTTTATCATATTCTAAAGGATTTGTATGTGAAGTAACTGACTTCCAATGTGCTAATGGCCAGTGCATTAATAAACATCGAAGATGTGATGGTATCCATGGTGACTGTCCGGATGGTTCTGACGAGAAAGGTTGTGTTTGTCAAATTGGTTACTTTACCTGTGCCAATCAAATATGTATCCATCACAATAAACTGTGTGATGAAAAGAGACACTGTCCAGGAGGCGAGGATGAGCATTATTGTGGTGAGTTACTATTTCATACTTCATGAAGTTGGCTATGACCTTAATAAAACAGGAATTACAATTAGTAGTATCGCATTAAAACTAGTTTTTCAGCTAACCAATCAAAATTCTACAACAAGGTAAGAAGCAAGATATGAATGAATGGCAAATGAATTTTTCCTCTTCATAAAGGGTACTAGTTTTTTGTTAGCCTTCCATTTTTAGCTGTTTTTCGTATCTTTCATACGTAGATAAGAAGTGTCCAGGGCATCAGTGTCTGGATGGGACATGCAGTTCGTGTGGCCAGCAGTCGCACTGTGAAGAGGAGAGACATAATCTATCATGTGGTAWGCTAAATTGTGTTCATAACGGTGATATTTATCTATTATTGAGAATATGCTAGAGTTGCATCTGTTCAAAACCGATCATAAAACGTTTGCTTGCTTACGTACAGATGCCATTGTAACCAAGAAACTAGCCAACTCGCAAAGGTGTCAAGTTCAAAGAGGTAACAGGTTTATAATCATCCCTATCACCAGCAACATCATCAAGATCATCTATTACTGTCTTCATCATCATCATCGTTACTAGCATCAACACCACCACCACCACCACCACCACCACCACCATGATCATCTATCACCGTCTTCATCATCATCATCATTACTAGCATCACCACCACCACCACCAGCATCATCTCTCGATGTCTTTATCATCACCATCAATGGCATCACCACCTCCACCATCGTCATCATCATCACCACAATTATCATCGACACCATCATTCACACAACCATCATCATCACACCATTAYGTTCATCATCATCATCATCATCATTGCCATCATCATGAACACAACCATCAACTTTACCATTACAAACACCACAACAATCATCATCACCATCATCACCTATCATCTTAATCGTTATGATTCATTTTTCAAGTAGCTCAACCAACACCACCACCTCATCATAAATATACCACATATTTGCTGAGCCTTCCATTCAGAGCCCCTTGTCAAAATATTTTGCAGTACGTAGCTAAGATTCTTTTGATATATATTGTTGGCAGGAATTTGTGGTTTTGACAACGAGCTCTGTGGCTTTCAAAACGATACCAAGAGCACTATTTTTTGGGATTTCTTTAAACCAGTGGATTATAAGTCAAGGAAACACAACTTTCCCAAGTATGACCACACGTCATTGACTGACAAAGGTATCAACTATATTTTATTAAGTTGAGTCTGTAAGTTTACTTTATATTTTGTACTAATAACTTTTGTCAAAATCTAGAAAGCTACATTATCTTAAAGTCGAACGAAAATACAAAACCTGKTCAAGGAAGACTGTTGAAACACTGGAACATGGTTCAAAGAAGTGTCTGCATGCAGTTCTGGTATCTTATTCCTGATAAATCAGACTCATCGCTTGAGATTTTTATGGACAATAATACTAGGACTAATTCGCTCTGGAAGATTTCAATCTCTACTTATGGCGAGTGGGCATTTGGACAAGTACCAATACCTGGAAACTCAACAGGGAAGGTTTGTATCGTAATGGGGAAACTAGATAAAAAGAATTACACTGATATGAATGAAAAATGGGAATAAATGAAGGAAGAAAACACACAGCTGAAGAAAGGAAGGTAGCAATGAAGTAAGAAAGGGGTGAAACCTAAGAACTGGTCAGGAAGATAGAATGAAAGAAATAAGGAGGAAAGGAAAAGGGAAAGRAGAAAGGAAAGGAAGGAAAGAAATGCATTACCTATTTACTTGGGTTAGCATTCTACTGGGTTTTTTYCCTGTACAGATGCTAAATAACATWTWTGTGGAAGGAAAGAAAAGGCATGTCAATGCAGTTATTCAATTTTCCCTGTTCTTGCCGTCAATAGATTATCATCATAGGATCTGTGCGTAAACACTTCGTCGCTCTTGATGATGTAGGATTTGTCGAGGATGACTGTGCTTCAGTTTACTTTCAACATAAGTCCTTCAATGCGCTATATTGACCCCAATATAATCAACATAGCTCCTTGAATTGTTAAATATTCATACTAAATAAAAAAAATTAATAAAATTAAACAAAAACATGGCTCTAGCCTTATGGGATAGGGAAAAGCCTTGAAACACCAAAAGTTAAAAGAGTTGTGTATAAAATAATTTGACGGAGGTGATCATGAAACTGTTACGTTTTTTATAGAGTATCCTGGCTTCATTCTAGAAATAACACTTTTTAATTCCACCGATTTTTGTTGTATTTTAGTGTTTCTTTCTTGGCGTGAAACTGCGTCAGTATCTACAAATATCCTAACGAGTCCACTTATTCATCCAAACGCGGAAGGATGGCGGTGCTTGCGATTTCGGTATTACAGCCTAGGCCTCGGCAACACGTACTTTGTAATCAAATTTGAAGTTGAATTCCAAACAGAAAATAAAACTATAGAGCAATGGAGCTACAGTAGACCGAGTAATGATGCGGTATTCATTCAACTGCCAATTCCAGAAAAGGAAGAGAGTTTACAGGTAAGATTTGGCGGCGGTAGTTCTCAAAATAAAGGAAACGGACTAGAATAAATCTATAGATGGACTGCAAAGAAAAGCTTACAGTGATGCAAGTTGATCAGTGACATGAAGTCACTTTCTTATTTTTGCAGATAAAGATAAAGAGACGAAAAGCTCAAGATATCTCTTACCGATGGCTAAAACATTTTCAGATTAGCTATTTCAAGGAGCACTGCCAGAAGATTCCAGGTATAAATTATYTGTCTTGAAGTCTTAAGTAAAAGACTCCCCTAAAGAGCATTCTGTAATCAAAGTCTTTACTTTTTAGTACATCAAGAATGTCAAGAATACCGAACTCTCAGTTATTCAGATCGTCGAGAAGACGCCATTGCAGAGGAGGAGATATTCCGAGATTGTGATGATTATCTTTCTACGACCGCATGGTACCGAGTGTTCGGTTCCGCTGGAAATCAGTTGGCAAGATCGTGTATAAAAAGGAAATGGTCCTGCTCTACTGAATATATGGGGTGGATCAATGGCCAACTTCCTTCAGTAGAGGAAGAGGTTGTTGAACGTCAACTCTGCTTTGCGACAGGCGACAAGTGCTGTGTTAAGGAAACTATCGTAAGGATAAGAAACTGCATAGAATATTTCGTCTATCAGTTTCCGAKAAAGGTTCCATCTTGTCCATCAAAGTACTGTACTCTATATAGACAAAGTGAGTTAAGAATCATTGTCGATCATGCGATAAATATATGTCAGGTTCTAAAATGACCAGTTAAAGAACTAGGGGTATATATAGCCAGAAGTAGAAATCCCCGTATTCATCATTTATTAGTCTGTTGATGATACAGTCCTTTTCTTTAACTAACTTGTAGTAACCCTTTTTTGTTTCTACAGAGTGCGAAGATAATGCCATTGGTGTATCAAACAACAGTATTATACCAGATACCAGTTTGACAGCAACTTCATATCAGGAAAACAGATATCCACCCCACCATGCGAGAATTGATTACAATGGATATGGATGGGCACCAAAGACTATTAGTGACTCTAGTGACTATCTACAGATAGACTTAGGTGCGGTGTTTACCATATGTGCTGTAGCTACACAAGGTTGTGGACACAAATATGAAGAGTGGACAACCGAATACAAGATAGCAACATCTATTGACAATAAAAACTGGACTCTTTATCAAAGTGGTGGTAAAGTGAAGGTAAAATATAATGACTGGATCATCTCTTTAGGACCTTCTTCTAAAAATATAAATCCAAAGATAAATGTATCAACCTCCATTGGTATACTAACTGTGATGATTGAAAGAATATTTCTGTTTTTGAATGTGGGTAAAGTAAAGAGGTCTTTCTCATTAGTAACCTTTTGGAACACAACGCCAGACCGAACCAAATGCTGGCAATGACGGTGATCACTGCGCCGGTCAGTGGTTCTTTTCTGACGTCCCGGACTTGTCATCCAAGCTACCAGTGATTCACGGTCCTCAWTGTAGAACGGTAAAAAGCCAAAGCTTTTACCCCTTACAAATTTCATCCCTSAGCTAGGGCGCGAACCATTGACGAGCTTTGAAATGAGAGAAGGAAGCACTGCACCACCGAGCTCTCTAAAAATCAAAGTTTTTTCATTATAACAGAAGGATTGTTTGTATGTCTTTGCAGTTATTTCTCGGCAACAAAGACACAAAAAGTATCGTCCAGAATACATTAGACGATACTCGAACTCTTGCCAGGCTCATAAGATTCATACCAACGAAATACCACAATTTCAAAGCACTACGTGTAGAAGTGTATGGATATATGAAAGGTAAGAGTTGATTATTATTTATGTAGCTAATGGCGACAGGAAAAAACCCAGGGAAGGAAGTTCGAGTTTTGAGAGTAAACTGAAGGGAATGAAACGGAAATGAAATTTTCTTAGGAAATTGAAATATGAGATCTCATTTTGGATTGGTATTACCTGTTAATGATAATATATTTATTTGAGCGCCATTTCTAACAGTTCATCTGTGTGTTTTACATTTACTGTATTTTGACCACTGACACATTTGTTTTTCAGAAACCAACATAGCAAACGAATGGAAAGGCTGGATGAAAAGACGTGATGAGAAAGTGCGGTGGGAAGTACTTGATGAAAGTTCTTATGAAAAGGTTGCAAATGCCATAGAATCGTCGAGAAAATCACAAGGTAAGTCCTGGTAATTGGTTCCTCTTTGTACCCAAAACCATTGGGAGGTTTATATTTTCTGGAATAAGGCAGAAGTTCGGGATCGCAATTATATTGTTCAACACACACAAAGGCCGGGATGTCATGTAATATCTAAACACTAGCGTAGGAACGGGAACAGGAGCACGTGTCCCCCCAAAGTTTACTCTGGGCACAAAATGTAATTAATTCATGCCGAATTCCTGTGTATTTGGCGRGAAAATGGTACATTGTCCTTTTATATCGAGACCTCGCTACGCCTCTGTATCTCAAAGCAATCCATGTTTATTATTATTATTATTAATATTTTATTATTATTTTTGATTAATTTGTTATGATATTTTACAACTTTATAACATACAAATGGCTATACAACAATAATAATCTAAAGCTAAATAAAGAAATAAATAAWATAAATAATAATCAAACTAAATAGTAATTAACTAAACAAATTATACTAAACTGAAATAATAGATTAAATTTCAAAAGAAAAATTTAAAAATTTGTTTGAAATCCGGAATATTCTACGCTGCGACTATTCCTTAATAAATTGCTGGATTTCTCTTGGTATTGTATACGAAGACCAGCAATTTTTTTGTTTTGTTGTATACTACATTACTTTCAGTATTCTATTCCATTTGATATAGTAAAAAGTAAGCAATCCATGGTGTTTTTATTCAGGTGTCAGCTTAACCCAGGATTATGCGTCAGACATTGGTTTCTCGCTTGGCTGTAAAAACTACTCTGTCAATATCAAGATAAGCAGCACATTGGAAGAATTGACTTTGTGTCTTTGGATTTCAATCAAAACCATGATCTCATCACCAATCAAACTTAATGTCGATTATGTGAAAGTCGAGAAAACGAATGATGCTGGCATTAATATTGCGTTTGTCAAGATTGATGCTGTTACGAGGTARAAAACATTCACACAAACAGTTCTTTTACAAAAACAGCTCTTCAGATATGCTATACTATTATGGTACTGGTATCCAGAAAAACTAATAGCTGTTTTTTTATATGCCTATTTCTATTTCTCTTTGTATTCCATATGTTTGTTGTTTTGTTTTGTTTTTTTTTGTTTTTTTTTTCATTTTTTTTTTCAGAAATGTAAAGAATAAATGGCGTCACGTTTGTGTCACGTGGATGTCAAATTTTGGAGTGTGGCAGACGTACATCGACGGTGCTGCAATGCATCATGGAAAGGGGGTGTTAGAMAAAGAAGAACTGTATAGTAAGTTAAGTCTGAAGCGTTTCTGTAATGATGTTTGAAGTAACTATTAACATTCTTGTCGAACATGTACATGGCAAAAAATGACAACAACAATTACAACAACAAACAAAGGAAAGTCCTGAAACGTTTGTGTGAAAATGCT